CTGACGTCGAATGTTGGGTATGAACCTGTGAGCACATACTTGTTCAGAGCCGAAGGAGAAATTATAAGGCATATATATTTTGGTATACAACTAATTTTCGGACTAAAGTAAGTCAGTTTAATAACGACTTCAGTAAAAAAAAAAAATCGTGCCTAAATTTGCGAAATAGGTCTTGCACAACGCGCTTAACGCACAATTTGAAAGTGAAAGGCTAACAGGCTAAAGAAATACATTGTTCAAATGTTTCATTTCTTTCTCCGACAGGTCGTGTAACAATTGAGCGTATTACGTCACAGTTGCACCGTGCCGCTTAAAATGGATGAATCAAGTGTAAATAACGTGAATTGGCATGATGGAGGTGAGGATTTAGCGCTATTTATTTACAGTACAAAATCTGTCTAAATCTTATCAAAGGATTTTTAAACTTTATGGTTTGACACTAGTATCAAATTATAACAGCCAGAATACAACAACGGAACACGTTATGCTCCTGTCCTAAGGCTAAAAATTTATCGTCTTTAAGTAAAAGTTTTCTTTCGGTTGTGAATTAGTCTTTGTTGTACTACAACGAATTCACAAGAGAGTTTTATGCATGCCTGCAATTTCTCCCTACTATTACAAGAACTATTGCAAATATTTTTATTATTTGTTATAATTTTATTGAAACGGAGATCAAACAACTAGAAAGAAAAAATCCTATATAAAATAAAACAAGTTTATTGTTATTCTCTGTATTTTAGATGGCTGGCAATCTACCATGGACCCGGGCACGGGGATATCCGTGACAGAGATCGTTGAAGAAACATCTACCCTTACTGTAGCCGCTATAATCGGGGTTACCTTGGTTATATTAGTTGCAATCGTAGCTGTTTTTCTGCTTGGAGTACTTATCGACTGTAGACAGCAGTAAGTGTGTTTTGTTACCCTGAATTTCATACATGTATATGTTATGAATGAAGTACGCACGTATGGTTCGTACAGGCGGTGTAGAGTGGTGTAGACTTGGCGCAGCCCGGGTAGTGTCAATTTACTAGTCTGTTAGCAAGGTTCGCAATGATGGATTACAAGCGACCTTTGTTTAGTTTGTTATGGAGTGTGAGCTCTGAAAATTAAAGATATAAGAGCTTTTTACGTATGTGTAACTTCGATTCTACGTAAAAATGTAAGACAGCCATCATTGGAAATAGCACTAACGAGTAAGAGTAATATGGCTCATCATGATGTCAAATTGTGTACTTTGCCCAATATATACTGGACTATGATGTTAATTTCAATATGTATGTAGTACGAAGATTTGTTATGATACCAAGGGAAGGAATGAACAAGTCCACTTCTGGTAGTAAGTCACACGTCTATCCATAAGTTGCAGTGCCACTTAGAGCTTTAAATCAGAAAGATCTGAGAGACACTGCACCAAATCCTATGTGCCTGTAATTTCACCAGCACCCTTTACTCTTCAAAACCGAAACACAGTAATGCCCACGTTACTGCTTGAAAGCAGATGTAGATAAGGTGGCAATACTTCTCTGGATAACCTCTTTCACAAGGAGTCGACTGCTATTAAATTATGATATTTACATATCTCCATTTATGTAGGTATAATCACAGGGTCTCTAAAATTGAAATAACATTACTTCTCTGTAAAATATAAAATTCCCTGCAGGTTCCAGAGCTAGATTGTTATTTATATTTAGCTAGAATATTAGCATATTCGTCATTGTTTTATTTTATTGCTTAGAGGAAGATCTGTTACGCTTACGTTGTTATTGTATTCTAATAGTATACGAAAACAAATTTGTACTAGAAGAATAGAAAAGACACCGATGGTTAGAAGTTAAAGTGTATATTATAAAAACTCTTTGTCCTTTTGGTTTTTACTAGTTTACTTTACTTTTTTTTTACTTTACCTTTACCTTTTTTATTAGTTTACTTTACAGATTTCGATATGAAAGGACACAGTGTGGATGCTTCAGAGCGCAGTATAATATTATATCTCGATTTGAAACTGTATATCTCACACGTAGGGCTAAGAACCGGAACATAAGTATTGGCTGCCTTGGTGTTTAGTTTTCAAGGTACCGATAGATTTACTTCTTGGATACGACCACTTGTTGGAAGAACAGGTTCATGAAATAAGTTATGAACATGACAGAATTGATTTCGGATACACAATTTATACAGTTATAGTCTATATATGATGTTAGTACTAAAAGTTAAATTATCTTTATTTCATAAGTACCTTGGAAAAGGTAATTGTAGAAATTGTACTTGAAATCGTCATATTGATTAAACTCTACAGCTTATACGTAAGACAGATTCCCCTGAGAAGAATAAGTTAAAAACTTTAGGGGTTGCTCTTTTTAAAAACAAACATTGGTACACATTTATCATTTACAATGACACAACCTGCAAGACCTAAATGAATCACTCACTACCACGGATTTTTCTCATCCAAGTACGCCGAAGCTGTATAATAAATAACATTTAGAATAAAGTCTTTGTTTACTATAATTTTAAACCTCGTGTAGGGCAAATTTTGAATATCGACCGGAATCTTATTATAGAAGCGTATACATTGCCCCGTAAACCTTGACACGTTATTTAAAGGAATCTTCGAATAGTTTCAGGGAGGTAATTCCACAGTCTGTAACGGTAAAAGAGTTGGAAAATAAAGCTGAAGGTATGGCATGAGTGATACAAGCGCAAATTGTTCACAGTATGTCGCGTTTGCCAACAGCGAAAAACACACATGCTCACAAACATCGCCAACCACAAGAATGCGGTTATCTAAACAAATTTACCACTTATTTGTAATTTTATATTGCTTCAGGAGAATAATACAAAAAAGACTGGGCGAAGTGAAGCGGTCTAAGAGCCAAAAGCGAGTGTCAGCACATCCCGAGGCAGACCACGCCTGTATAGTCAACAATATGGAAGAACCGGACCTAAGTCCCGCCCCTGCGGAAGCCCTTCGAAACATACCTTAGCGTGAGGAATCTAGTCTTATAATTGAAAAAAAATACCTTATTTTAGAATCTTAATATGCCAAAAGCTCCTTTAAATTATTTGAATAGATTCTCGAATTATAATTGTCAAGACATTGAAAAAGGTTGTTGTATTTCTTACTCTAACATAATTAAGTAAGTGAATTCAGTATGATACGTGTGTTTTGACTTATAGTCAAGCCAATATATTCTGTTTGGCTGGCGTTGGTAGAGTATAAAAACACTGAATTATTTCACCACCTTAGAATAATAACGATTATTCTAAGTTCACCATTATTTAAATCTTTATATTATATATAATAAGAAATTGTATTTCAATCTTGTAAAATTTATAGCACCTAAGTGTGTATGTATAAATTGATTTCTATATCATTCCGTATTGTTTTAATGTAGTAATGTTAAATTGAATTTGTATTATCCGTAATGTACATCTGTATGGCCATTGATAATTTAAACTTTTATGGAAAATAGATAATAACGGACGTATACGTATAATTTTGTAATTAAGTAGACCAAAGTAAGTGTTTTTTTTATGTTCATTTGTAAATGTGTCAATCAATTGTCATTAGACTATCATTATAAAACAAAATGTTGCTAATGGAAATGGTATGGAGCTTACCTTCTTGGAGCTTACAGTAGTAAGTATACAATCTATTTTTAATTTGTGTGTTCTTTTACATAAAACCGGCCAGAGCCCTATTTTGTGACTGAAAAGAAAATATATTATTAAAATTTTTGTTTTTTATGATACCAGGTGATGGAACAAATAAGTCGTGCTAAACGTACCTAGTGGTAAACAACCCGCCTGTCCATAACAGTTGTAGTGCCACTCAGGATTTTAAGTCGCAAAAGATTTGAGGGGTACTGTCATTGCGCGCGTTAATCTGAGACATAAGTTGACTAGTCCCATGTGTTAACTAGCATGCACTAGTTAACATAAGTTGACTAGTGCATGCGCTTCACCAGCACCCTTTCACTTAAAAACCGGATCGTAGTTGTGGTCACATTACTGCTTGGCGGCAGAAATAAGTAGTACTTCCCTGGACAAACTCTTTCACAAGGAGCCCAATAATAATCATCATAATCATCAACAACCCATTTATACGTCCCACTGCTGTAGGGCTAGCACGAACAAGCGCGACTTGCGTGAGAACGACATAAAGCGCGATATGTCTATGCGACAACAGCAGTATCTCGCGCTTTATGTCGCTCTCGCGCTAGTCCCGCCTTATCGTGCTAGCCCTATAGGGCACGGGTCTCCTCTCAGGCAAGCGTTTAAGCCACAGTCCGCCACTCTGGCCCGGCATAGACAACTATGGCCCGGTGCGTTGGGGACTTCACACGTTTTTCGAGAGTTGTAAACCTTCTTCGACGTGCAGGTTTCATCAAGTTGTTTTCCTTCTCCGAAAAACCCATGGTAACTTTCAAATGATTTTTTTCAATAACATGCTTAAAATTATAATAATATGTAGGAAATGGAACTATTTTTCCGGATTTAAATCGCGTATATTTGTTTTTTCACACAAACCAACGTTTCGGGCCCTTTTCAGGTCTCATGGTCACGGTTGAGTCCACCGTTGGTTTGTTTAACAAAACAAATGTACGCGATTTAAATCCGGAAAAACAGTTTCACTTCCTATGTGTAACAATCGGGAAAACCTCGAATAAAAATATACTTAAAATAATACAAATACGAAATAAATTATTAGACACATACGTATGTATATGTCTAATAATTAGGAAAAGAAGTATTGTTAGTTTATTTCGTTTATTTGTTTAAAATGCATATATATCCCCACACTATGTAATGAAAGAGAGTTGATTTAGTAGTTTATTATATTCGGGCAAACATTAAAAACTACTTAACCGAATCCGGATTCTTTAAATATTTTTAGAATGTAATAACGTGGCAGACAACCACACCAATTGTCTGATCTCAAACTCCCTGTACCATAAGAACTTCCCAGAAAACCCACGATGGTATATTGATGATGTTTATACGATTTTTATACTAGATACGGTCCTAAAATTATATTGTACTTATTTCAAACGAATTGCGTAAGGATTTCTATTACGTTATGTCGCTACACTATACTTCATGCATAATCGAATAGCACGTTGTGTAACTTGTGTGGCAACGACGGACACATTATGGGTGCATTTGTGGCATGAATTAATTAATAGACAAATCCAAACTAATATTAGAAATGCGAAAGTAACTCTGTCTGTTACGTTTTTACGCCTAAACTGCTGAACAAATTTTTGTGAGTTTTGTTATAGAGATTTTTTTTATAATATCAAGTAGCGGGACTTGATGAAATCAATCAATCAAGTAGCATCTACTCCATCCGTCTTCGGATATAGACCTCCTGCAAATCTCTCCATTTACGTCGCTCCCGTGTCACATGTGTCTAGTTGCGGCCCGCGAAAATTTTAACGTCATCCACTCGACAAAGTGGCGAACGACCACAGCCGCGCATGTTGGCCCATGGTCGCCACTCCATGATTCTTCTTGTCCAACGATATGATTTTAGCTATGTGTCCTGTCTATTTTCATTTCATCGTATCAATTTTGTGCACAACGTCTCATTCGGTATTTGATCAAGCAATGTTATTCCTAACATTGCTCTTTCCATTGCCCTCTGTGTGACTCGTAAGTTCTCTGCGGACCTCTTCGTCAAAGTCGTTGTTTCCGTGGCATAGGTGAATGCGGGCAGGACACACTGATTGAAAACCTTAGTGTTTAGCCTCTGCGGTATGCGTTTGCATCGCAATATTTCCTGGTTCGCCCCAAAAGCTAACCAAATCTGTGTGATTATCGACCTCCGCTGTTTGGTTTGGTGGGCCCTAAGTAACTTTGTGTCGTAGAGAGTAGTGGTCAACAACAATTCATGAAGTATATATAATAAATTTTCTTGTAGGACAAAATCGTAAATGAATGCGAATTAGAAAGCTCAGTAGTATTCACACCACAGAAGTGAGCTGACAAAACGGGTAACAACTCCTAGGACTGGTGTTTTTATGTAAAAAGTGAATTTAAACATTCGCTGACCTAGGACATTCATGTCTCGATCTAAATATTACTAGAAAATTGAAAACGCGAGCTTATGCAACAGACAGGTGTAAACAAGAAGGAATGTTGTATTTTTTCACACTTGGTTGATTCCGTGCATGGTTTCACATTATGTTTTCGCGCAGTTCTTCAGGAGCACAGTCTGCAATGGACAATTTTATCGTACTACGTCACGCATTACTTTAAATAATCGCGATCGGATTAATTTTGATAAAAATCAATAAATAGTGATCTTCGAAGTAATCACTTCTGATAATAGTATCAGTATTAATTATGTCAAACATAAAATATCAGTGTCGTATGGAATCTTGAGTTGATTAAACGTCGCCGGTAGTTGCACGCGTGAATAAAATAGAATTTGCAAAATGTTATCAGTAACTTACCAGAAATAAGAACATTAATTAATACGTAACAGATTAAAGTGTGAAATAACAATGGGTAATTCGAAATCTAAGAAAGTATACGAGAAACCGGGTAAAAATGCTACGATGTTTGAGCGGGAGAAATATAATGAACATTTTCGTGAAAATAAATCGAAGAAAATTACCGCGGTAAAAAGGAATGCATTAAAGGAGCCCTCTCCGATTGCCACATCACCAATCACGCCAGTGTCTATACCTTCAGCGGCACCGACGAACCTTCGCTCCTTTGATGATGAAGCGATAGAACGCATGCGTTATCAACTCCAGAATGACTGCGACGCATTCTTGTTGAACAACATCCTGCTCTCTGTGCAGTTCTTTGAAAATTTTGAAAGGTAAGATTTCTGTGTATTCCTAAAAGTTTGTTCAGGTAACTGTCTATTGCGTACAAACACAACGAGGTATACACATGTTTGAGCTTACGAATAATAATAACACAAAATAGTGATATGACTACAATGAGAATCAATTTAATCATATATGAAAATATTTAAAAAATAATTAATGCGTCCTAAATAAGTTCATCCACGGTAATAAGTATTAATGTTTTCATAAAGAGATTTAATTCAAAGCTTAAAAAAGTTTAAAGTGCTAAAAAACCGACCTCAAAAGTCATTCATTTCCTAGTTTGCCATCCTTAGAGGTAGTAATATTTTCTTCAGATTCAAATGGGACCACCTCTGAGGTACCCTCTTTCCAATAAAAAAAGAATCATCGAAATCGGTTCCTAAATCTGTTCTAAGTTCTGCGTAACATACCTACAAAAAACATACAGTCGAATAGTGAACCTCCTCCTTTTTTTGAAGTCGGTTAAAAAATAGTTCATGCTGGTTCTGGTTCAGTAATTTCTTTTGTTAAAATTATTGTGTGGTATTTATAACTGACGAAAGTATTATGCAATTAAATGAAAAACACACATACTCGAAATCTGATTTAAAAAATCACTCTATATATTTTTTGTGCTATCTACATGCATATTATACATGATAACGTGGAAATTATTGATTCAGGAAACTTACTCATTATTATAATTAACTAGTTACCAATCTAATCGACGAGAGCGTTAAGTGGCGGTATTTAAAGGATTATGTTTATATTCTCGGCAGTTCACCAGCTCTACTCTAAATTAAAGTAGAGTATTAATATAGATATATAATAATCATTTAAATACCGCCACTTAACTTACTTTTTTTTACTCTACTATATAAATTCTAGGTTTTCGTTAAAAATAGTTTGTCTTAATTGTTAGGTATTTATGGTCTGTCTTTTTTGAAGATGGAATAAAATGACAGTTCAATGCGCAAAAGTGTTGCCAGCTTGCAAGCAGCTAGTGATTATAGTCGATAAATATTCTATCGACTTATTGGGTTTCATTTGATTCACCATCGGCCCATTATTCGCCCAACTGCTGGGCACAGGTTTATTTGAATTGTCAATTTTTGTAAGTTCATACATAAACACACTGCATTTAGAACTATGTTTATTGATTATCCTACTATGATTATACGAAAATACAAAGAGGAGACATATTTTAAGGATTTTTATTTAAATTCAATACAAATAATTAAATCCGCCTGTTTAAACTAAAATGTGTATGAATAAAAATTAATTTCGATACTGATAGGTCAACTGTCAAAATAAGAATAAAAAAGGCTATAACGCAACTAGTAATCGGTAAAACTTTGTAACATCAACAAAATTTTAGCTTCTTTCACAGTTTATCGACAAAACTGTCGACAACAACTACATGATTATTTAGAATTTTATGAAAACTGGCAACCCTCAGACGTCATCAAAAAGGTAGATTAAAATAGAAATTACTCAGTATAAATAATATCGTTTTTGATAGCATTATCTTTATTATGATTATATCTAGATGGAGACGTATAATATATATATTAAAAAATATATATATTTTATAGATACTATAACGTTTAAGATTACTGGGTGTCCCTGTAGGTTGGCTCTGCAAGATTGAAACTCTTGTATGCGAAACTCGTTTCGAACTGTGAACACGCTTGATCCAATGGTCAAATATTAGATTAATGAGTGTATTGAAAGCTTAATGGAATTAAATCCTCATCATCGATCATTCACTAAGCGGATTGTTCATGTAATCGACGTACAACCAGTCGAACGTTTATCAGATAGACGACTTTTTAGTGCGAACATTGTAGAATACGACGCAATTGTTATTTTCACCTTTGACGAAACATAATGCACATGGAGAGAAAAAAGATATTGTAATAAAGCTATTGGGGGCAAAGCTTGAATCTCCAAATGCGCAACGGCTTTTATTGACGTTGTTGGTTGTATGATCGACATAGGAAATGTAATCGCGCTCATTCTCGATGTTAGCTCAGCACACCGTCCCACCTGGTGGAAGTGGCAGCTGACGAGCAACGACAGCAGACGACGGTTCTATGAGCTTTCATCCAAGTATCCCACACGGTGGAAGTACTGGAATACCACTCATAGGCCGTATGTATCGAGACGAAGCATTTTCCCGTTGCAACTTTATTTAGTTAACACTTCGATAGCGCGTACCGTTTTGATCCCAACAACGCCGTCTAGCGGCAAGACGAGGTTACTAATATTTCTTGTACTACGTGGTGTTACAGTATAGTATAGATCATAGTTTCCCATAGTGGTCCCTACCGTGGGCGCTTAAGAGTCCTAGGGGATGCTACCGCATTTGAAAAACACTGAATTATCTATATAAAATCACTACATACATACATAATTATTTTTCCTTTTGATTTTTTGCGTTAAGTTCATATAAAAAATACGTGTTTTCATTATTGTTTGTATCATTATTATTTACCTGTACCATTTTTTCAAAATCTGTGAATGTCAATCAAAACATCTTTAAAATTCATGGGTAGTCTTCTAGAACCGTTTTCCTGTAACTACAACGATTAAGGTGGCTGGCCTTGCTGCCCCGTCTCAAATGTACATACACCCTGCACAGTATCTGGTTCATTATATAAAAATACGTAGTGTATGTGTAATAAAAATATTTAAGAACTACGTATTTTTATTTAATAAATCAGACGCTATACAAAATAACGCAAACAATTTTTTTCTTCATTCTGTCAAGTTGTCAAAATTGAGACAGCACCGGTTGTCAGTTCACAGTCGTATTGTAATTTATCCTTACAGCTACAGAGGGAGGGTATGTTTTTCGAGTGTATGTTTATTATACCGTAGATTAGTTAACGTTTTGTTTAAAAGAACAATCGCACAATCAATTGAGCACAACGTCATTCGCTCATCGAAGCGATTATTATCGGTAAATTGATTATTTGAAAATTCGACGAAGCATGATTGCACAAAGGAGCTTTATACCAACGCGATCCGACCTTCAAATCCGACCACAGGCACTGTCATGAAAGAAAAACTAAACATAATAGTAATAATACAATCACAGTACCATAATGTTAAACGCTATGACATCTTGATAATGATTCGGTTGTTTCTAATTTAAAAAGATGTAAGAAATCTGGACTGTAAGTAGAATTTAAACTTTACCCGGTTGGCATATCGTTGAAAGTTCAATACGTATTGTTGGAAGTTACGACGTTTTGATTCTATATTGAAATTTCAAATAATGTGCTACCATCTAGCGGTCATAGCTGAAAGGCGATGAACGATTAACGTTCTCTCAAAAAATTGACCATATTACAGCGGTTTACTTGTGACCGTCAGGATGGCTGGTCGCCTACGCGCCT